CCAATCTAGTATTTAGTCTCCAATTGATGCTGCGGTTTTCCGATTGTGTTACAATCAGCAAGGTTACCCTTTTTAGGTATCTTGACTATCAATGTCTCATTCCAGTCGGACGGTATCTCTTCTGAATGCCAAATGTTCTTAAAAAGCGGGAATATGAGTACGGAGGATTGTGTAATGTCAGCCTTCAAACATTCAGCTGGTATATTATCGGTACCTGCAGACTTTTCGGTTTTTAACGTAGGTATTCCTTCTGAAATTTCTTGTTTACTACGTGGTTCAGTTCTAATATTACGTAATGGTCTTCTCATTCTGCCAATTCGAGACAATTCTTGATTGTTTGCAACTACATTGAACGTTTTTTCAAAGTGATCCCGCCAAATTTTTAATTGTCCATTTTAATCGTCCGTTGTTGTAAAGTTTCCCTCTTGGTTTCTTAACGGTTTCATTTCTTATGGAATTATCATATGTCAGTTTTCTGATTATTTGGAACAGAGAATTCAAGTCATTATTCTGTGCAATGATTTCAGCGTCTTTTTTTCCTCACACGTCATTTTATTTGTTTAGTCAGAGTGTCGATGTCTCTTCCAAGCTTTAAACCGCTTCTTGAATTCGGCTGTGCTTAACCATTCTTTACTTGTTTTTGTTACATTACCAAGCACTTCAGTAGATGCTTCTAAAAATGAAATTAATATGGAACTTTTTTGTGTTTGAGTTGTTCAACTACTTGGGATGTCAGCTTAATGACCAATGGGACAATAGTAAAGAAATACGTATCCGAATTGAAAAAGCAAGGTCGTCTTTTATCAGAATGAAAAACTTGCTGTGTATGGGGGAGCTGTCATTACCGCTTAGAATAAGAATGCTGCGATGCTATATATTCTCTATACTCCTCTACGGGACAGAGGCCTGGACGCTGTCGGTTGCATCGATGAATAAACTCGAGGCTTTTGAAATGTGGTGCTACCGACGTATGCTCAAAATAAGCTGGACAGAAAATATTACAAATACAGTGGTACTTCGGTGTGTCAACAAAGAGACAGAAATATTAGAGACAGTAAAACGCTGAAAGTTGGAGTTTTTTGGTCATATTTTGAGGCATCCGGAAAAGTATGGACTACTAAAATTAATCATTGAAGGCAGAATTGAAGGTAGACGTGGCCCTGGGAGACGAAAGATGTCATGGCTGAAGAATTTACGTCAATGGTTTAATAAAAGTACAAGATCACTTTTTCGAGAACCTGTAGATAAAATCAAAATAGCAATCATGTTAGCCAACGTTCGAAGCGGACAAGGCACCTAAAAGAAGAAGAAGTTGTTTTGACGTATAATGCAAGATATTTAAAGTCTTAATTCTGCTAATACCAGGTAGTGTTCACTGCTTTTTTATTTTTGACGTTGAGTAATGTTCTTGCCTAACGTTTGCTGACAGAAATATTCTGATTGCTTAGAGCTGGGTTAGGTGGTATCTAAGTTGTTTTATGTACTGCCTTGTGTATAAACATTATGAGACCATGGTTCTAACACACCGAACCATCGTTTCCATATCTTTCTTCAACGCCATGTTTTCCAATTACTTATTTTAAGCCGGAATCAGTGCTACCTATTTTTGCGTTGAAGTTTCCCATTAGAATTATAAGGTCGTTGTGGTTGACATACAATAATGTTCTTTCCAAGAGGCTATAGAACTGTTATTTAACTTCTGCTTCATTTTCTTCTGTCGCAGCATAACATTGAACATAACATTGAACATAACATTGAACACGTGCTGTTGTTATTCGTTCTGATATTGCATGCCACTCTAGCGGATCATTTCTAATTTTTCGGTTCAGATATATACTGGCTCCGTTTATGTGCGGATCATCAGGATTAGGCATCCCTAAGTATATAAACTGGTCTCAATTTGCAGTATGTTTTACGCAGCATTCGTTCCACCTCATTTCACTGTTGCTCAAAACTTCAATATGCAGTCTTTTGCACTCAGATGTTAGTTGTGTTAGTTTTCCTGGTTTAAATAGAGTTTTAACATTCCACTGAGTAAATCGAGTCCTTGTATGTAAGCCATTGTTCATCATCAAAATATTCAGCCGTTTTGTTTCTCTTGTTGATATATTGATATGGTTTAGTTTTCGAAAGTTGTAAGGAATCAATCTTTAACTTTCATAGTTTGGTAACAGGGCTACTGCCATGCAAATATTATTTGCTAGCATGTGGCCTCTAAACCTGTCACTCTTAGCTGTGTGGTTATAGTCATTTCCTAATATACCTATATATCGACATCTATATACCGCCACGTACTCGGTCGTCAGAGCTTCTTCAGTGGGTATAGGATGTACCGTGAGAAGGTAAAAGGTAACATTTGCGTCAGAGAGACTGTTTGAGACACATCATGACACCATATAATCCATATGTTACATTTGCATAAAATTTAATTGATTGTATTCAAGTGGAAATTAGTTTTTAGTGAAGTGCAAAAAACAAAAAAAATTTAATTACAATTGAAATCACTTTTAAATTTAAATTTTATATTACACAATAAATTTTAAGTATAACAATTTTTATATCCTTTACACAAAAAAGTCTAAAAAGGGCATATTAGGTTTGTCAAGATTGAAGAAAACATTGTTGGCCCCATAAAGCATATATATTTTTGATAGGATCGACAAGGTAAGTTCATTCAACCATGCCCGTCTGTCCATCTGTGTGTTTCATTCCAAAACCAGACCACTATATTCTAAAGTTACTACAAAATTAAAGCTATAGAATAAATTATGTAAATTAAATATATAGATATATTATCATGTAAATAAGACCTCGAGGAAGGTTCAAAATTTTGTGTAGAGGTTATATAACCTGTGATATTTTTGTTGGATTGGATTAGCCAAAACCGGACCGCTATATTCTATAGTTGCTACAAAATTAAAGCTAAAGAATAAATTATATAAATTAAATAAATGGATATATTAACATGTAAATGAGATCTCATTGAAGATCCAAAATTCTGTGCAAAGGTTATCTAACTTGTGGTGAAGCCAAAGTTAACATCTTTATTTGTTTTGATTAATTTTGAAAAAACTAGAAATAAAAGAATAACTCACATTACAATATAGAAAGCATCAAATTTCATATGCAAATTCAAAAGCCTGTAGCAGAAAATGGAAGCGCTAAGATAAAGCTTCTGAAATGTACTCAGAGAAAATGAAATAAATGTGATAGGAGGTATGAGTGTCGAAGAAAATACGCAAATCAGAGACAATCTGAAGATGATCGTATATATCTGATGCTTTGCTAAAGAAGGATAAAGAAAATAAGTTTGTGCTTAAAGGTCTAGCTAATCAAATGGCAGCAGCAGAAGCAATTAAAAAGGTATGTGTAAGTTCTGTGGGTGTAAACGATACAATTCAATACAAGGAATGTACTGCATAAAATTTATTTTTAGCTAGCGAGTTGTAAATAGCTAGCTCTTTCTCGTGAAAGATATCTTGTTCGTTAACAAAAAATACTGGAACTCTGTTCACGGACTCATCTCATAGGATGGTAACAAATTTAAACTAAAACGTTTGGCGTTCATTACGAATTTTAGTAATTTTAGTAAGCTCATCACGAAGCTTTTGACAACGTCGCCGTAACAAAAATCGGGTTGTAAATAATCTGCAGCATCTGTCAGATATAAAGTACATAAAGCATTGGTTAGATCAGTTCTAACTTCAGCGGTTTAAGTGTGAGACTATTATGGTTCTACAGAAGTGTTCGTACTCGTATACCCATGAACACATCAAGCTATATGCGGTACATAAAAGCCAACAGCATATAAGTACCATATATATGCATTTTAGTTATATGAACCGACAAACAACTACAATTTAAAATTATGATATTTTGAATAAATAACAAAAACCCGAATGATGGCTGAATATGATGAGATTCGTGATATGGGTGATATGGGAAAATGCAGATTTTGGCAGAAAAGGGTATTAGAAAAAGTCAGTGGAAAACAAAGCAAAAAAGTAACTTTATGAGAGATGTATACATCAGGTTAACAAACAGTTAACCTGGTGCGTTCTCATCTATGCGTAAGAAAGATTATTTGTAATTGAGTTTAAGAAGTTAAAGCCCTTTCTTTTTAATCTCTTTGGTCAGTGCCTTATTAAGAGTTTTCAGGTAGGTTGTTAGGGATTTTAATAATGTGAACATATGACTATTGTCTAATTTCTCAACTTTTTACTTTTTTGTCATATTGAATATTAGGTACTTGTAAATATTATATTATTTGCATATCAGAAAACTCTACAGATACGTTCAGCATGGTTTTGTCGTTATGTTAAATAAGAGGATTTTGTTCTTTAAACTAAGTTTTGATTTAGTTTTGATGGTATTGTTTTTTAACTACAAGATTTTATAATATCAATTTTCTGTCCAGTGATAGTCGCAGATAGTTAATAGAATGTCTTTGGGAAATAATTTTTTCCTTAATAAAGAAAGAACAAGACTCCTTTTTTAAAGGACAAAATGTAATTTAAATATATTTCAATAATTCTACATTTAATTAGCCCTTAGTCCACTTCACTTAATTGCTACTGCAGCATTATTGTGGTAGTATTAGGACTTGAACGAGTCCTGGTAAATTGCAAATCACTCATAAATCATAGTATATACTTGAGTGGTATGAATCAATAAATGTACTCATTATTAATAAATGACTTCCTATTCGGTCGGCTTTAGCAAACGATTGTTGTTTTAGTTGAAAACTATATACCAATAAGCAATAGCAGGCAAATTTTTGCTGACTGTGACGTGATACTCATGAATGATTGATGTCACTTTCATCATTTTGGTGTCGGTGTTTATGAGTATCATATCAGAAGAGTATAAATCATTATAAGTGTTAGCAGCTGTATGTATGAATCAGATGGAGTCGAATATAGAATGCGCATTAGTGAAATATAGCCATGAATCGAGTGTTGAGTACTCATTGTAGTTTTCTGGTTCCAACATACTTCGTTATGGAACTTCAACAAGAATGGTGTAACTATCGAAGGTATAATTTTTTGATGCAGTTGAAGGTTTCGAAAGAATTGGAAGGTTTTTAGTATGTTATAAATGTTGGAAGATATAACAGTACTTAACTCTTACTTAAGGCTTTCTACACCTTATCAAATGCCATCTAGGAAAAGAGCAGTGCAGTATTTTTTTAATTTCAAATTTCACATGTGAGACAATTCAACGTTTTTTTTTTAAATTTAAATTGGTGTTGCGGATATAAGCCAATTTTAATTGTTTTAAGTAATGATTTTTCAATGATGACATTGGACTTACAGGCTTGTATAAGGCGACTACAGGCTCTCGTGTGTTATTCCAAATTATTGGGAGTTGTATCAAAACTTCCATGATTTGTGGAGCTGGAAAAGGAGAAACATGCTACAACATATGTACAAAATGAGAGTGATTGCAATTTAAAGTATTTTATTTGATCTTATAACTTCAGATAGATGAAGAGCGAAAGTTAACGTATCATTTGCCGCAAATTGCATCTAAATGCTATCGAAAGAAAAGATTTGCAGCGAATTGCATCTGAATGCTATCGAAAGAAAAAGCACCAGATTGAAAACAAAAGAAGAACTTTCAAAACTTTAATATATATATTATATATATTTTGTGGACCAAACAACAATTTTAAGTATAATTTGCAAGTAAAGGAGAATATTTTGGGAGAATGCCCTATGTTAAATGAATTGGGTATCACTATTAGAATATATCAAAGAATTCATTTGTATAAAAAACATAATCCAAAGCACTTTTAATGTAACTACATAAAATAATAAACAAATAATTAAATTAATTATTCTATTCTATTTATGCAGAAACAATAAATTGTAATCAAATTTAAATATTTAATTTATTATTATGAATTAATTATTGAATTTATTACCAATTAAACTAAACCTACGGCAGACGACTATATCAGTCATTGCCGGAAAAACAAAATATTTATTAAATGTAAATATTATACTTAATAAAAAAAACTAAATTAACTACATACATTACTCACCTGTATTTAAACTTCAATATTTTTCCGCTATTTTATTTTATCCTTATTATGTAAAAGAAATATTTACATAATTTTATTTACATATATTTTATTTATAATTTTAAAAAAATTGCGTTATAATATTAACACTGCTTTCTGTTCTAAATTGTTGATAAAAAAATTAACAATATTTTAATATGTTGTAATATAATCTATAAAATCTAAAATTGAAGAAATAATAAACCTTATTAGTATTAAATTAAAATAAATAAACAGATATGGGAATATCTGCTATAAAATATCGAAACTGGTACGGAGGAAACCATTTACGTATTTACCATTTAAAATAAATAAACAGATATGGGAATATATTCTATAAAATGTTGAGAAACTGGAACGAAGGAAGCCATTTACGCAAGTGCTTTTAGCTCTTTTTTTTAGGGTATGTCGCGTTTAATGTTTAAAAAAAGTCCTTTATCTAATAGTACTCCAATTATGTCGAATAAAAGTCATAGTGAGCAAAGTCTGGTGAATACAGTAGGTGTGGTAGGAATTCATAACTAATCAGCTGGTGCATAGAAATGGTGAAAATATTAATATCATTATTTAAGTGATATAAAAGCGTTGTATAATATGACCTTGATAGTGTTTAGCTTTTTTAGATACATGTAATTAGTTTTATTCCAGGCGTATCCGGGTTTTAAAAAAGAAGTCATAACTTTATGCTCTGATGGAATCGTCTTCATCTTTTAAGAGTACATTCATCACAAGAAATGAGAATTGTTTGTTGTCATACTCATATCTCATCTTAATCCTCTAATCATAAATTAATGTTGGGTCTTCTCAGATTAAACGTAGATATTTTAAACATTATTTCATAGTGATTATATGTGCAAGTTGGGAGGAAACGAGTTGCTCATAAGCTGATAATTTTTTATGCACTTTCAGTAGTAAAAATTGTGCGAATATGTTTTTGCACTATAACTGCAAATAAGTTAAACAGATTTTAAGACATAAAAAGCTCCCATATTAAAGAAATAATCCAGATTTAAGTATTTAAGTTATGCTAAATTAAAAAATTAACGAATATTTTAAAACTGTACTAAATAACAGTTGCCGCCGACTTATAAAACGGCCCTCGTATAGCTGAAAATATACATTATATATTTATTCAAATTTATTCAATATATTAAATTAGATAATTAGTTGTGTATAATAGAATATTAAAAAATATTCTACTATATAGTATCCGTTTTTTTAGTAATATTTACAAATACTGTTTTTCTACAAAATAGAATCTAAAATTAATTAATAACTTTCCTTATGGTATTTACTCTTCCTTAATTTGATTTGTTATAATTATTATATATACATATAATAATATTATTTGCTAGTTATTTCCTTTGACTGATTGCACCAGAAATGTATAAGATCATTGATTTTTGATTATATAAGTATAGTAAACTAAAAGGGATTAGTAAACTAATAAACAAAAAGTTTTTTTTAGAACCATACACATAAAGTGAATTAGTTTATTACTTTCACAAAGCTTTATATCCATATTTATAAATTTTTTTTTCAAATATCGAAATAATCTGCTTATAAAGAATCTCACAGATAGACATGTGACAAATTTTACATGATTAATTTATAATTTTATATATATATTTTATATATATATAAAATTCTATATTTCTATATTTTAGTAACTTCCAATTTTGGTATATATATAAAATATATATAACATATTTTTTTAGTGCTTCTTTTTCAATTTTTTTTTTATTTTCCATGCAGTTGTTATTTGTAAATATTTCCAGCTTTTTGAATTTTGAAAAATTAAATTCCTACTAATTGTTTTGGGTACAAACAGCTATAATAATAGATTGCACACGTAATTTGCAGATCAGTTAGTTGCAATATTTTTAAAATTCTTACGAAGAAATTAAAATGTTTACAATGGAAAATATTTACACTCAATATTATGAACTAAATCAATTTACTGAAAAGTTTTATATTATTCCGCTCTGTTTTAAAATGTTCTCAATAGTAATACTCTTCAAATTTACTATTTCGAATTAATTATCCAATTATAAAATTGAAGTCATATTAGTATATGTTTGTTCATATATTTACATATGATCTTTTTATCTGTATTAAATTCTAACGTATAATTTGCGTATGTGCTCTCAAAAAAAAAAATATGTGCTACACTTTATATTCATTCAGTAGTTGCGTTTGCTGGTATTAAGCTTTTAAAAATTTAGTTTAAATAATGTAAATGGACTTTTATATACATATACATATATGGATAAAATATTTATGTATTTTTTTATTGTCTTACAAAAAAAAATTTCTTAAATTTCTCCATTTCTTCTTGTGTGTTTTGCAGTGTAAGTAGAGAAAATGTGAGCAGCGATCAACAGAATCAACAATTCCAGCAACAGCAACAATATCACCAGCAACAACATTCTCATCAATATTTGCTTCGACAGTCTTTAATTAATCTTACGAGCGCACACAACACTAACAGTAGTAATTGCAATTACGACTTAAATAGTTCTACAACGCCGCAGAAGGCAACAGAAACTAAATTATTAACTCCACTTAAAAGCAGTAAATTACAAAAGTCTAATTCGTGTAGTTGTGAATCTCTTAAATGTACGACAACTATCGTGTCTGTTACAGCTGTTCATAACCTCCATGGTGATCGCTCAAAAGCAGAAAGTGAACTTTTAATATCAAATGGTAGTGGTGAAAAAAATCCTGCATCATCAAATATATACAGCGTGGACTGTGATGGGTTATCTAACATTAGAGCTGATGAGCAGCCATTGATTCAGAACGATCATACAACTAGCAATTATTGCGGCATATCAAAGCAGAGTTCTTATGAAAGTTATAATTATGGACAATATCCACAGGTGCTGTCCTTAGCTGGTAAAAGTCATAACTACCTTGACTGTACCAACACAAATCTAGCTTCAAATAGCCCTAATAGTTGTGCTACCAGCAGTAGTACTGGTGGTGTTCCGTCCGCCTGTGATGACTTCAACGAATGCACGGGTTTTGAACTTAATGAGAGTAATAAATATACACACAGCGATCTTAGAAACATTGTTGTACATAATTTTAGTAAATCAGATCCGATTACGCGTTATAGTAATTTGGAAGATAGGGACGCTTCCTCATTTTTAAAAAGCCACTACAGTGACTGTAATATTTATCCTAAACCACATTCAGGGCAACATTTAACGAACCTCAAAATTGAGCACGATAATAATCAGTATGGAGGTGACAAACAACAATTAGTAAATAAAACTTATATATTTAAATGTATCGCAAATAGTCCGCCGTTTATAAAAGCAAATAAGATTAAAGAGCAATCAAAAAAATTACGAAATTTATCATTAAAAACACGTACAGTTAAAAAAAAAAATCAAATTATAAGTAAAACGAATGCAGTTTCAGATAATTCATTGCATCCAGGAGACAAATATCTTAATTTGTATTTAGTTGAGAAAAAAAGTGTTCAGCAAAGTCATACGCGTTCTTCAGTGACGGGTTCTATTTCTTCTAACTCACCATCTGGAAACTGCGCACGGCAATTGCCAGCGGTTTCGGCAGTAACTAGATATCAACAACTTGTAGTAAACGGTTCAGTCAAATCCTATCCCACATATCGGTCTACAGTGAAAAGTGATATAAAAGACTACAGTACTAATTCCTCATTCAGTAATAAGTTTAAACCAAGCAAAATAAACAACAAAAACTGTAACTTGTTTACCGGTAATGCAAACTTAAGTGTGAGTACAAATTCATGCAATAAGCTGCATGCAACACAACCTTATGCAATATCTCCGAAAAGTTCATTATCAAGCAATGGACATTTAAACAAACACTTTCTCACCGATATAACGCGTCGAAAAACCGAATTTAATCGGCAACTCAGCGCACCTACCGATTACACCCAATCGTATTGTAACGGATTTCATTTTGCAGCCAATGAGCCCGTGTGCGAATCAACGTCAACGGTTGCAAGTGCAGGAATCAATTCTGCGGGTGCTTTAAAATCACATCATTGTATTTTACCAAAACAAACTTCTTACTCATGTACAAACAGTTTTAACCGACCTCAAAATAAAAAAAATAAAAACACAAAATTAAATGAAAGGTGAGTTTATACAATAGATTTGGAACACTTACAAAACAATAAACATATTTTGTTTCCACATTTTTCTTATTCGTTAAATAGTTTTTATTAGTTTTTTTAGTTACTTAGCGCTAGAGCGGAATTACTTACGATAAAAGCATTTTTGTGATTAATGTCTCTTGATTTGAAACTTTAAAAGTACTACTTTTCGATAATAAGGTTCAAGAAGAAATGATCGCTTGGCGAATAAGTGGATTAAGTTAAATCACTGAACTCGTTCAAATACAGTATTTTTTATACATTCAATAACGCGTTTTTAAATATGATTTCCCATCTCTCTTATGATAAGTGGAAATGATATGCTTTGGTCTAGAAATGAAAAGTGTAATACTTAAAAATGATTTGTGTAATACATCTTATACATATATACGTATGTATATAGGATACAGTATATCATATAACATATTAGTCTTCAATTCACTAATCGTACTTTGTTCTGTTTAGGTGTCTGTTTTAGAGTTTAAAAAAAATGTTGTTTTAAAGCACTTTTTTTGTGTAGAATGAAGAGAGGTTTTCGAGAAACCTTTTATTTCCCAAAATTTCTGCTGATTTTATTATAATTAATATCTTATTATTTTGAAACCATTTTTTAATTATCATTTTTTATGCAATCGTCCTTTGAAGCGAGTTTCTATTGCTGTGTTTCAATAAGAGTTCAGTAATTTACTAGAGCGTTTGAGAAATTAATAAGTAAATTTAATACAAAAGCCTGGAATTATATCATGGCATCAAACCAGAATTTTTTGGTTCAGTAGTGTGTTGTATTTTAGTTGTTAATTAAATGATTTATTTAAAATATGTCTCGTGCAAATATTTTTTATTTTAGGAATAATTTGAGTCAATTTAAAGTATATTTCAAAAAAATAAATATGTAAATAAAAAATCCACAACTAAAGAAACAGATGCACAGATACCAAACTATATGGTACTGAACCGAAATAAACCGATATATTCGGTTCGGTTTTCGTTCCTGCAAAAATATCGGTTTTTTCCGGTTTTCGGTTTGGTTCCGGTTCGATGCCCATAATTATTTACTACATTTAACGTTGCTTCATTAAATCAATAATATAGATTTCAGAATGGTTTATATAAGATTACCATTTGCCTGTTCTAATGTTGTTGTTGTTTTTGTAGCCCGCCGGGATCTGCTTGTGTGACCCCTTTGGGGGATGTTGAACGACACTTGGTCGTCTTCGACGAGTGGTTCCGGGACGTAAACTCGGCCGTTCTTGAAGACATAATGTTGTAGTATGCATTTAGTTATGTCACATAGTTTTAATAAAGTATTTTTTGTTTCTAAAATTGTTGTTAATCTTAATTATTATTAGTGCTTTTTTTGCTTTTTAATTAATAACTAATTGCAAATTTATAAATGTATGTATACATTTAAACCTTGTGCATCGGTTTCAAATCGGTTGTAATCGATTTTGCTATTACAAAACCTCGTAATTCTAGACAAAATTTTAAATATTCAACTTCAATAAATAATTTGTAATTTGTAATTTCATAAGTCTTAGTTTTTATTTAGAATTCAGAAAATGTATACAAGCTCTATTTAAAGTAGCAGGAAACCGGAATAAAATTTGTTTTGAAATCGTAGATACTGAATGCTTTACATAAAACAATTAAAGACTTTGCGATTAAAGCGTTTCGTGCTTGCGGTACATGCAGGCTATTATTATAGTCATTAACACTTACGAAATATACAATACATTAATTTTAATATAAATTTAATAAGTCTTGTTCTGATGACTGTAATTAATATTTTTTAAATATTCAAATTAAATGTGTACTTACATATCAATTTTAAAATACGCTAAATAGAATAATTTTTTTTTAATTCACATGATACATATAATTATATACAAACTAATTTTAAGGTATTTAGAAATTTTCAATGATCATCAATAGATGTATGAAATAACCTCAAAGAATGCATGTTTAATATCTCAGATTCAATTGAAATAGTAATAGTTTTAATAATAGATTTAGATGGTTTAAAGAATTCAAGTTTATTAAACACTTCAATATTTTAGATCAAAATCAGGACAAAGCATTTACGAGTATCACAGTTAATTTTTATTTTTATTATTATTTAATTTATTATTATTTCATGATTAAATATAAAGAAATTTTTCGAACAGTAGTGAACTACAACAACAAAAATTCATTTTATATTATTTTAATTAATTGAGTTTTTGACTGACCATACAGCTATTTCGAGTATTGCCAAATACCCATCATCAGAGATTAAATATAAAAGAATAATAGAATTATTTTAAATTTACATTATTATAATTCAATAATAACAAAGACAGCTTTTTACAAAATATTTATATATGCTTAATATAGCTCAACAGGTTTTATTGAAATAAAAACTTATTGTTCATAATTTTAGATAAAAATATACATCATTGAAATAGGTAAAGAGACAGATGAATATTGTTATATGCACTATTATAATCGTTTTAATTATATACAAGTATATAGTTTATACGATGTACGATTTTTGCATCAGCACGTCGAAACAGAATTTGTAAGGAATACTCGTAAATTGGTAAATAAATTATCAATATTATATAAATACATAAATTTACGTTTGAACGAAAATTAATTTATTTATTAAATATTGTCCACGTTAATAAGTAATAGGTATTGAATATTTACTAAATATTAATTCTATTTGTTGAGTTTTACAATAGGGTTAGCAAAATTTTATCATTCCAATAAAAGTTAAAGACCCGTTTCTAAAAACTCAAAGTGCAAAACATCATTAAAAGAAATACTCTCCTATATGGTATATAAATATGTAAAGGGTGTAACAACATGCGATACAGGTTTACAAAAAAATAAATGCTCAATTATCTGCTTATAATAATTTGTGTTTTTTATTTTAGTAACTTAAATTAAAAACCCGATCAATGAATTTAATTTCGATATTATTATGACTTATCAAACAAGCGTCAACATTTTTTTATAATGTTAGGAGCTTGATAATCTAGTCGAAAGCGTATACAAGTATCTCAAACAGTGACGTCGCTTATCAAGCACACATTTTTATTGTATTGGAGACCTAAAACAACACACGTTGAAGTTGTATTTTTAATTTTTCAAGTTATGCAAATGAAATTTAAATTCAATATAAATTGAACTCTGGAAATTGGTGTTGTCTGTTTATCACATTATATGATATACGAGATTTTACCGAAATCAAAGTAACCTTAGCATATGCAGTTCGCTCTTAAACTCTTAATAAATATTGAACTTTTTATTGTAGTAATTGATGGGCTAAATTTATTGTAGCAAAAAAAAAATTTATTAAATAATATGTTCTATTACATCTACTTACTTCTATTTACATATATCAATTTGAACCGAATATTTGAATTGCTAAGAATTACTATCTTGATACATTATGGGTACAATCCACTTTATCAAGAAAGTCCACTGAGCAACAATAAATTACAAACTAAAAAAATTGCTAAACCTGGTCTTACTATATATTTTGTTGTGGTACCATTGTCATTCGTTACTGAAATATACTATACTAATATTAAGACTATGCACTATAGTGGAAATACTCTATTACAAATTCTTTAATTTTTATTATAGCTATATAATCTGATCGATTGAGTTCTTTCGTCAAATTGCTCTAATAACCATAATAGATCTTAAACTATGTATATAGGGTGTAATAATAAATATTAATTTAAAAAACTTCGTTATATGATTGATTTTAGATTGTAACTGCCTGAAGGTGTTTCCTTAAAGAAATGACTTGCTGAATATGGTATATAATAAATAACCAAAAAATTAAATAATAATAATTATCCACTTAAAACCTGAAGTGCGGAGCAAGGGCAAACCGATGAGCGTTATATAAAAATTTGAAAAAATAAATAAACGCACACAATTATTATGAAATTTTGTAATTCACAGAGCACAGTGAGGCAGCTTTTGTAAAAAGTGACAAAATATTTCAATTTATAGATATATATTGTAAAACTACGAGTTGGAAATAAATACACATGTTAAATTTTTAAAAAATAATAAAGCTTTAAATTTTATTCAAGCAATTGGAATCTTCGAACTTGTTGATATTCGAATATACTGGTGTTCGAGTGTTTGGCTCATATACAGCCGCTTAAATGACTTAGTGTTATAGATATCTGTATAAGAAAAGTAAAATCAAATTAAACATAAATATAAGACTAGCTTGAGTAAAATTAGTTTCAAATTCGAAAACTTAAAATGTTCAAAAGTGCTTAAATCCTAAGTCTGCAGAATATTGTGATGCGCAAATACTTTTATGCCCATAATATATATTTTAGATTAGCTAAAATCTGAAGTTTTATTAGTAGTCGCTATTTTCACCTTCCCGAAGTATTATACCTGAAGCATTACAATCCAGTATTACAATAATATTTTACTCAGGTACGAAAAGGGCGTAGATTGTCAATAGCGATTAGCAAGTTCACTACAGTCGAGTGCCATAGTTTATTTATATTGTTCACTAATATTAAAAGTTCGAACCACACAACAACGAACCACAAATTCGAAAGTTAGCATTTCATTCACAATTGCTTACAAGTTCAAAATCATCAGTTTTATTTTTCAGGACATCAGATTGCAAAAATATCGCTTTCATTGTTGGCTTTGATTCTACGCTCTCATCTTGTTTCGGAGAGAGACTTTGAAGTCAATTTTAATTTAGTTTTTGCAAGTTCTCAACGCTCTCCCGACTTTAAAAAAACAAATAGATGTTATTGATAAACCCGAAAAACGTTTTCGCTGTTGTAGAAGAATTTGCCACGTCAATCAAAAGCTAAAGACATTCTCTGTGCCCATGACTTTGTTTGTGTCTTTGCAATATGCGATTCAAATCTTTCCAGTCACAGCATCCTTTCTTTATCATCCGTGTCTGCATGTGCGAAAAAAATCTATATCAAAATCAATAGACTATTTAATAGATATTAAAGTAAACTAACCATGTGCGACCTTCTCTTTCACCTTAATTCAATTTTCGAGTAAAATAGAAATTAGAAAAATACCTATTAAAAATATCCTTAAAATAATATTTTCAATTTCGAACTTTTTATTTAGTTCAAAAAGTTGGATAATATAGTAAATAATTCACCCACGTCCAAAGTTGGGAATATTTTCATTGTTAAAAAATTCTCTTATTCATGTAATAAGAGACAAACAAAATCATTTTTTGTTTGGTAAAGTTTTTAAGAAATACTGGTACAATTTTTTACGATATCCCTGTGGGATCGAGCAGTAGTAGTCGTTGCCGACGAGTCAAATTGAGCTGGAGTCAGATGAATACTGTGGATGTAATGTAACCTTAAACATAATTCTGTTAATTCTGTTAAGCATCGTATAATATTATTGTATATGTATAATATATAATATAATATATATATAGTAGTATATATGTAACATATATTACATACATATTATTATATATGTAAGATATGCAAATTAAAATTCAACACTGCGCTCTATCCACTAACATAGAAAAAGACTATAGTAAAACATTTTTGGAATACGGGATATGGCTTCCAA